TCCCCTCATATGAAACAGGACATGAGCTGATTTCAGAGTTATATCAGCCATTTCTTAATACTGTTTCTAGCTACTAAAAGCCAATTATGGGAGGTTCTCAAACTTTGCAGGGCTGTGATTCCCTAAAATGATAAATGAATTTGTGTGAACTGTTGAAATCCAGATTACAATAAAGCCATAATTAATTACTAATAAGATCCCATAATCTAAATTAAAAAATCATTTTAATAAAACCGTTTATAATATTTTGACAAGGTCTCAGACTTGCGCAGGTTTGAGAAATGAAAACAAAAATAGTGGACTGATAAGTATAGATGCATTGTAAAATTAGGATCACTTCCTTAGGTACAAGCTGTTATGATTAATTGCACATAAGAAGCAGAGTACATAAAGGTATAGAGTAACAGCTAAGGATTCTAACCTTTGTTATTTATGCACTGCCATAAATATCAATGGGATATGTAATTCAATCCTACACATGCTTACCAGATAGTAAATCCAATTCAAATCAGTGGAACTTGCTTCTGAGAGAACTGACATAGGATTGCACAATAATTTCCACATAAATTGGATTAGGGTTGCATCTTTGGCTTCACATTCTTTTCTAGGAGGCAGGCATGAAGCTCATGAGATAAACCTATTTTGCCAACAAAGAAAAATATTTCACCTCAAAAAGCTTTGTCTATCTGGATTTAATCTGACAAATTATGGAGAATTTGTACTTTTGCCTTATCAGTGCAGCAAAACGAGTAAGGTGGCTTTATGTAATTATCTAATTATTTCATAGATTTTTATCAGAAATTGATCATTCATGTCTATCATTCATTAACATTTTCTTATTTTCTTTGACAACAGTTGCTTTTTTCCACATTGGAATTTTCCACACTGGTAAATTATTCTCTTCCTATTACAATTTTTAAAAGTTTACTTTTTATTTCCCATATAATTTGAAAAAAAGACAGAATATGTGAAAACGGTTTGGATACATAGTTCTTCCTTTATTTATTTATTTATTTTTAAATAACTTTTTTTTACTTTGTGAGTCACATATTAATAGAAATATTTGTTTAAGTGTCCTCATAGACTATGAAAAATAGAAAAGCCTTATCTCTGGAGACAGAAATACTTGTCTGTGGCAGATACACTAGAGCAAGTTCCCTAGAATGGTTTTAGGAACTAATTGTGGGATGAACTATCCAAATGACCTATTGATTCATAATTTAATTTTTCTACTTAAATATGGAATTTGATCCTTACAGCAGCATTTTTCTTATTTGAAGATGTTCAACAGTGAACATCTCAGGTTTTCCAGGTCAGCCAAATATCAAAGTTGCTGAAAATTCTGGGGTGTTTCAAGTCAGGAAATAACGCCTTAGCTATAGTTGGTGTTTAATTTTATAAAACGATTATTTAATATAGATTATATGAGGAATAAAAAGAGAGGTCATTCAAAAGAATAGGGGAGTATGTGTTGTGAACATTCACATAAGTAGCCTAGTTTTAAATTTTATTTCTATTCCTCTATTTTCTGCAAAATGACTATTCCTTTTAAAATTTGGTGGGGGGGGGGAAATCCCACATTTTGGAATAATTTTTTAAATATCTTTTATTCTAAAGATATTAGCATCTGCAGGCTGTATTATATGATGTTTCCATTAACCAATACAATTCCCATCAAGGATTCATTTCCATCCTGAAAGTTCTGAAAAGTGATATATAACCAATGTAATCAGAACATACACTATAGTGTCATAATTATAAAGCCAACTTAGGCATTTCCCTATCAGTAAGACACTCACATTTCACATAAGCTAAATGTTCTAGATACAAAATATATTTTGTCAGACTATGTGCTACACTTTAAAGGTCGCTACATATGGGTGTCTGTGGGAGAGAGGGAAATGACAAAATGCTTGTGACATCATTAGCATGTAAGTGACACAGCTTCTGTGCCTGATCAGATGTCTCAATACAATTATGTAATACTGTCATTTGCCAATGCATGTGCCATTTTGACATCACAGCATCTTACAGATGTTTATGAAACTACAGCTGCTTAATTGCTCTGTTGGTTCAAGAAAATTTACTACAGTGTCTCAGTCTGAAGCAACTATGACTGACCTATTTAGTAATACTTCTTTGCATCTAACCAGATATGTGGTCAATTGACTTGCTGGAGAGCATATCCCTGCTTATGATAAAGTAATGTGAGCTGTGTTTCAGTTACCCACTGGAACGTATTCAGATTCTATACAACACCCTTTAAGTTTTCTTGCAGTTTTTCCTTCAGCATCTCTGATCTAGTAAGGACAAAAATTGACATGAAAACTGCACCAAAATAATTCAATGTGCATTAACAATTGTGCATCTTGAAATTACCGGTTCAGAGCCATTCAGAGTATGCACTGTAGTTTGCATAAATTGAATTTAATAGGATGATTGCTTCCAAGATAGGTAGCTACACATAACTGTTTCAAAGCATTGTCATTTTGATACAGCCTTTTTTCCACTGCTGATATGGTAAAGTTTGTAGGAGTCTATTTTACTGCAAGAAGTAGCTTTTCAATATTAGGTATATGTGAAAATAGTGTAAATACAAGGTGCCAATCTTTTTAACTACAAAGCTGCGAAAAGCCTCACTCCTGTACCTCACCCTGTTAGTGAATAAGCATGGAACACAATTCATAAATAATATTACATCCTGCATTTTATTCAATTTCATGTGACAAAAATAGTAACCTAGACTAAGACATCCATTTCAATCAGTAGATGTGTCGAGCCAACAGATTTAATAATAAAAAATATTGGATCTAGGTAACAATTCCCAGCTGGTTCAGGGAGGCTCCTAGCCCTACATGGTATCACAGTATAAAAATAGTGTCTCTCTTCACCATGCAGAGAGGAAGGACCTAACCCTGAATACAAAGTGGGGTCAGTTTTACTGTACCTTCATCAGCCATCTTATTTACAACACTTTACATCTCTTTTTAAGATATGCACATCCTTTAGGGAGAAGAAATAACACTACATGGTACCAAACACTAAAAAAAAAAAAAAAAGCACACCAGAAATGGACACAGATAAATAAAAACATTCATTTGCTGAAAAACAGCAACACTAAGCCACCTCAGTTTTCTCTGTTTCCCAATTTTGAAACACCCCAAACACAAATGTTGCTCATTCATTGATAACAGAACATGTTATAATATACAGATGTGTGTGTATCTGTGTGTGATATGTCTACACACACTCACACACACACACCCCACATACATATTTAATATATGTATATGTCCATATTTATATTCTGTGTATCATTGCTGTAGAAAACAGAGCTATAATAATTCATTGTTCATTTCAAAATAGTAACAAACCACTAATAAGTCTTTTAAACTTTGCATTCAGTGATATGATGGCAGAAACAGTCCATCCTCTTATAGTAATGTTTTGTTGTTGTTGTACAAGAAAGAGATTGTCCTATTTTTTTTTTTCCAGACACAACTGAGAAGACCTCACTGTCTGATTCTTTCTTCAGGGGCATAAACATTGTGTGCTGTTTCCCAGCTACCCATAATGTCCCTTGAACAATTTTGTTGGACGGAAGTTCATAGTGTCAGACTCCACCATGCTCGTAATGCACAAAAATGAGGTAGTACACGAAACACTTACTGTTCAAGTTTTGATTATGCCCCAGCCTCACCAGCACCCGAGTTCAGAGTGGAAACATTCCCTTTAGTCACAATTTTAAACAATGCTTTAAACACATGAAAATTATATTAGAGTATCCAGAGTACTTTGTGCTTCGTAGTAAATCTTAGAATATTAAATAAAATAGGGAAATTGGGAATTTACGTACAAGTTACAAATGGTATTTAGAATTTTTGTTTTCTGTTTTGCTTTACATACCAGTGCTATTAAGCAGTCAGCATCTAGTTTGTGGGTGGGAGTGAAAGAGACAGAACAGATTACAGCAAAATTAAGCCTACACAATGTTTTCTTTAGCCTCTCTTAGACTTGCACTGATATCACAGCCCTAAGATTAACATATCAAAGGTCTGTTGGAGGGTGGCCTTACAGAAAAGTTAAATGAATCATTTTGGTCTAAGAAATGGCAGGCCCCATTATATCCAAGAATCTGACAGTTCTTAGTGGTTTTCTTATTTAAAGGAGCACAGATCTCTCATACTGTTTGACCTTAAAGACAAACACAACAGACCCCTCCCCCATTTTTCCTCAAGCCAAAGTACTATTTATAAAATAGTTTACATCTTTGTTCAGATTCAAATTATAGACAAACCTCCCTAAATATAAAATACTAAAAGTGCAATAGTATAAATTAAGAGTTTGCAACCACATTATACAAACACTGCCTTTTATTGTACAGCCTTTGATAACATGAAGTGTTTTATTCACAACTGCTTATAGTGTTGTGAATAATCTACTGTAATAAGGTTTGTCTGTAACTTGTTTTTCCAACTATGAACTGAAGTTCACACTACACTTTTTCCATTTAATAGAACAACTGTCCACATAGCAGCTACAAATATTTAAATTAAAATGGTTTGTTACTGACAGGTACTTGCACATGAAAAGCATGCTATCTTTCCCAATAAAACTTCACAATTTTGCCTGCATTGAAATAAACCACTTATTTATAGTAAAACAAAATTTGCTTTAAAAAAAAGTCACATAGCCAGGTGTATTTTGCCGTACAAAAGCTTCATTTAAGAATGGGGCTAGTATATTGTCTGTTACCCGCATTATCTTTACATTATAAATACTACAGACAAGAATACTGTAATCATAGACAGCATTAGGGTACTAAATCACTTATTGAATGTTAGAGAAATTCTAAAAACAGAGTTCAAGTTTCTAGTTGAGCAGAACAAAACCAGCAAAGATAGAGCTAGACTGAAATGCCATTGTGAAGCCCACTTTTACTCAACTGGTGGCATCTTTGCTTTGTTTTGAAACAAAATTTGAAACAATTTGGCCTCCTTCAGTCCCTAATGGAATTATCCAATGATTTACATTTACTTAAATTAAAAAGGTTCATAAGTTCTCACTAATGGTCAGCTCACTGTTGAAAGTAGTACCATGCAAATCTTGCGAGACAACTTTTCAGCAGACACGAAGTTATGTATTTCTGCTATTGATAAATCATAGAGTTATCTAGGCAATTAGGCCACAAAACTAAAGTTTAACTCCCCAAACTGTACATGAAAGAACAAATGTTGTATTGAGCAGTGGTCCAACAGTTATTTGTATTGAATGCTTTTAATTTATGCCAATCTCTTTATTATCCTCAATAAACCTTGTGAATGGACGACTGGCTGCTGTTTCAGAACTTGCTTTGTCCAAACCAATGATGGGAGGGCTACTACCAGTACGAGCTTTGTCCATTCCACTGGTAACGTTACTTAAAGACGGAATGGCACTTCCGCCTAAACTTACTGGGAGCTGAGGAATGCCTCCGTTCTGTATGACAGAAATTTCATTGTTCTTCATAGCAAGTCCATTAGTAATAGCTGCAGCATACTGGTTCCAAAAATTTGGGTCAACATTCATTGCCCGTGCTGCTAAATCCTTTTGGAACATTTCTGAAAACTTCAAAGCATCACCACCTAACAAAGCCATGGGATTTTCCACGGACAGTCGACGCCCACGCCGTGCAGGAGCATTATTCCACATATGAGTTCCCATGTGAACCTTTAGAGGAAGAACAAATAGAAAAAATGGGCAAATGAGCAAAGAGATTTACACAATCTACAGACAGATGCTACACATACATTTTAAAAGCCAGCAATGGAAAATGTTGTTCTAATTTCACAATAAAATGTCAAATAATGCTAAACATTAACTTTATTATGCACAAGAAATAATATTATTTAAGATTATCAGGCTTACACTGTATTTCAAGGACTTTTTTATGGCCTAAACCTGTAAAACTCTTGTTAACATTTTAAGCATTTATATATGTGAATTTTTGCAATTCAATTATATTCACATTTACTTGGAAGCAATTACTTCTGTTCTATGAAGTTTACTGCAATGCAACTATGCACAGATGTTCCTGCCCAACCATAAAGACCCATGTCAAATCATTTTAAAATAAAAAAGATAAAACAAAGAATTATCTATTTTTGCTTGGTCTCCCAATAAATATTTATTTTATTTTTTCTCTACTTGCAATGGTCTGAATGCAAACTTCCTGCTAGACAAGCAGAAGGAAATTTCTGATTCAGCTCACATGCAAATTTTCATTTTCTCCTAAAAAACAGTTCAGGGACCCTCCAGAGTATCTTTTAGAGTTACTGAAGACTGCTCTCCCAAATAAGCTTAAGTATCCTCTGTTTACATGAATGGATCTTTTAGACCCAAACTATGTTAGGCTTGACTAATCTAAAATTACCAGGGACTAAATACCTTAAAAACAACAGAATATATCTGTTGCAACAACTAATCTTTTTGCTCTCTATAGCATAGTTACAAATAACTTTATTAAGGTTTAGTCTAACATCAATTATGGGCTCTTCCTTGATTGCCTATAATCTTATAATTACCTGGATTATGTAGAGATATAAAATGTTATAGGTCTACATTTCTTTAGTATATATATATAAAAAAAAAGAATTGTATTGTGCTTGAATATTAGAAAAAACTTCAAAATTATAAGATCCAAGAAAGCCTTCTCACTGAGAATTTGCCAGTTTTGAAGAAGTGCACCCCAGTATATAACCATAATATTTGAAAAAGAATACGACTGTAAAACAGTGCTTCTCTAAGACACAATGGTATAAGAAGCTGTAACTTAAATCTTTTGCCAGAAAACTGGATTTATATAACATTGGTTCATAAATGTGGACTTAAATTATTTCACTGCATTGATTCTTTTTTAGGATTCATTTAATTATAGCCATATTTTAAATATTAAAAGAACAATTCTACTATAAGGTCAGAGTTCAAAGGACATTATAAAAAAGGGGGGGGAACGCTCTTTAAAAATAAAATATGTTGTACAAGAAAAAGGAATTGATTTTTAGATGTGTGATGATATATACAGAGTATTTGATTTTACACTGGTTCAGAATGGTGGTCTTTGGATATCAGGCTAACTCATACTTTAGCTTGACGACTGTGAGTGAGAGTGAACCTCAAGCTTGTGAATCTCCTCTCTCCCTCCATCTTCCAATGTGGCTTCAAGATGATTAGAAGAGTTCACATCCACTGTAGATTAGCCTCCATCTGGATTGTCATTTGAACCTGACAAACTGGGGTTGATCTTCAGATTAGCTTTACGAAATTGGCTTGTTCCCATTATTCACAGGTAAGATTAAATACCATTTGAGGTTTAGACTAAACACTAAATTGTGCTTACTAACAGGAAGGAGAGGAAAACGCATGTGTAACTTTAGCTTGCAATGAATCATTTATATTCAAAACAATACTTTAGCCTAACATCCAAATGCAATCCATTTCTCCTGCCCTGATTTGGACTCGAGGAAGAGGAGAAGAAGGAGCCACCATCTGCTGAACAATCAGGTTCAATGTGAACCCTTTTTGCTGTCGTATTTTTACAGTTTTTTTTTTCTAATATGAAGTTTACCTTCTTACCTTAAGATTCCCTTTTGTGGTAAAAGCTCTACCACAGATAGTGCAACCAAATGGCTTTTCACCAGTATGGGTGCGTTCATGTATCTGTAGTGCACTTGCTGAGGAGAAGGTCTTCCCGCATGACTGACAGTTGTGTTGTTTTGGAGTTCGACGTGGTGGGGGTGCCAGCATAGGAGTGATGCTGGGACTCATCACTGTCTGTGGTGCAGCAGGAACCTGGATTCCAGCTGGAAGCGATGGAACCTCACCCAATGAGATCGGCTTGCTGTGACCATTCACTTCCATTTTGATCATAGTAGGCGCAGTGCTGGTGACCAGGCTAGGAGTACTTTGGCTGGGACCTAGAGTAAAGTTGGGTTCAAATAACTGAGAAGGCAGCTCTTTTAATTTGTGTGTCAGTAAGTGCTGTTTTAAATTACCCATAGTGGAACACCCACGTTTGCAGACTGTACATACAAATGGACGTTCTTTAGTATGGCTGCGGTAGTGAATTTCCAATGCACTCTTACAAGCAAAAGGCTTGCCACAGATATTACAAATGGTACTTTTAAACTTACCACGTTCTCTGTTCAGGAACAGCAGGCTAAAAGGAGCTTCTTCTTTGATGACTGGCCTCCCCGGGTTCGTGGCTGTCAGATCCAGTGCGCCTCCATTTTCAACAGTAGGTGGTGGGGGACTGTCAGATTTTTCTGTCTTTAATTGTATTTCTTGTGGTTCTTCATGGTTACTGAAACCTGGTGATTTCGATCTAAAACTTTCACAATTGCTATTTTCAGGAGAGAGAGCTTGCATGGATGAAGAAGATTCTGACATGGCAGGACTCCCTGCACTCTGGCTTTCCAGATCTCCAACAGCTGATGAAGAATCGTTGCTTAAATGGTCACTTTCCCCTGACCCATTTTCTAAAGATTTTAGATTAGTTAACTGTTGACAGTTCATGACAGAATCAATCATTTTCATTTGATTTTCAAGAGCAGCAATGCTAGAAATTACAGACGGGGGAGAAGGTGGACGTGATCCAGAATAAGGTATAAGTGGTTTGGAGGAGTCTCTTGTACTATCTTTTAATTCGGTGTCCTCCTCCATGGAATTTTCATCAATATCATCATCATAGTTGCTCAGTGTCTCTGCATTCTTTTCATCAAAAGAAAGCTCTGAGTCCATAGCATCTTGGAAGCCATCTGGTAATGGTGTGTTTGGAATTTGCCCACCCATGTGCATACGAATATGCTGCTGAAGAACAACAGCATTTGTAAATTTCTTCTGACAAATGGGACATGAATGCTGTACTCTAAGTGGTGGCTTCGCTCGATGAACTCCAAAATGTGTTTTTAGATTGCCTTTTGTAGTAAATGCACGTCCACAAATTTTGCATTTAAATGGTCTTTCTCCTGTATGAGTTCTGTAATGCATCTTGAGAGCACTCTGACAACTGAGGACACGGTGACAAATGACACACTGATTTGGATCTGTCATCTTCTTATCAATGTTCTCTACAAGCTGTTGCAGTTTTGAGGTTTCTGACGTTTGCATAGAGTCCAATAGACCACCAAATGGAAATTTAGCCTTGAACTGGTCAGACAATGCTGGAAGCACAGGGTTTGGGAGGCTTGTAGAAATACTGCTTTCGGTAACAGCACTAGGAGCTGTAGACGTGGGTACTACAGAAACCTGACCACTTATAGAAATATCTCCCAGCCTTGCATTTGTTACAGGAATATTGGCAGGTTCAGTTTTAGTCATGGATGAACTACCATGAATGGGTTGTGGGGACTCTGCAGACAAAGGAATGCCTGACTCAGAATTGTTTAGGCTTGGGGATAAAGAAGTGCATTCACTTGACGCAGGGGATGTTCTCTGGGGTGATCTGTTCATGGGAGTAATACTTGGGGAATCTCCATAACTGTTTACCCCTGGTATCGTTGGGGGAAGTTGCAGACTAATTGAAGTTGGGACTGTTGGTAAAACAGGCTTGCTATCCAGCCATGTGGTAACTGGTTTTTCAGGTGGCAATGACATCCCATATGGAATCCCAGAACAAGTGGGAACATTGTCGAGGTATTCTGGAACTGGATATGGATTCATCTGAATGTGTGGATATTTTTCTTTATGTCTCTGAAAATGAACTTTCAGATTGCCTTTAGTAGAAAACCGGTTGCCACAAATGTTGCACTTAAACGGTCTTTCTCCTGTGTGTGAACGCAGGTGAATCTGTAGAGCACTGTCACTCCCAAAAACCTTGGCACAAAATCTACATTTATGTTTAAAAAAAGGATCCTCAGAACTTGTCTTAGGCTCAAATACAGATACATT